GAACCAATGTGAGGTATGTTTGACTGTCTCGATCAACTGCTCTGTTCGTAGTTTTATCAGCTGCGGGCACACAACACAGGACTTGTGGATAAGTTACTGGATCCGCGCGATGTCGTTTACCACGACGTGTAAAGGCAAAGCTGCGATTTTGAAGTACTTGCAGGTTATCTCCTTTGATAGTTATATTTACTTATTACTAAATTCTTCTTTCCACATCTTCTATTTCGCATATTTTCCCCTCTCTTAAATATCTCGATTTTCATCTCTAAATCTATCAGGTATCATGTTAAGTAATAAGGTTGCTAGCATATCTTACACTATAACAACGCGGAAAACCTTTAGAGATATGAATCCCGGGGTCAATAGTGGGTCGAAAATCCCAGTTTCGAGTAACAAGGCTGTAAAAAACTCAAACCGCCACTGGAAAGCATTCCTCAGAGTAGTGTTTATTGTTCAGATCACTCAACCCGAATTAAATTAGGTCTCAAACAGAGGAACCAAGACATCACTCCTCCGACTCCTATTCCTAAAAACAGCGGTGGGTAAAATAAGAATAGGAGAAAAACCCGTACCAAGGTTTGGTCGACACAGTCTATCGGACATAAATCACATAGGGATGACTGTATCGCCTGCTGAATGCCAGCTAAAATCAGTGACTCCTTTGCTGATTGAAAATTCTGCTGTAAATGCGTCCATTGTCACTGTGACTCTGCAGTACCTAAATAGTACTATGGGTTAATGTTGAGGCAACCTTGCCAGTGGTAGTAGTATACCTGTCCACGGCGACACCTCAACTCACAAACGGTTACCACTCAGGGACAGGGGAGATAAATTAAATTCACTTAATTTATTTAATGTCGTAGTGTCGGAAGGTAGCCTACTAGAAGATAGAGCCGCCTTGAATAAAGAGCGATGACATGCGCAAACCTCCGAATGTGCAGTACCACAGAAAAAATATGCCTCTTTTTCAAAGGCCAGAACATCTCGAAGAGGAAAATTTCTTCTATAGGGATGATACTGGACTCGGCACAAATTGCCGAAGATATACTCCTCTCATCTCAGAGACCATCGGTAAAACTGTACTTTCCGATCCCCATCATGCATGACAAACCGTTGTCAGTACGAGCGGCAGCCAGGACAACACCAGGCACGCAAGAGAAGACCAGGATGGTAGTTCACGTCGTGCCCAAACTGGCCTCACAGACCTAGTTCTGTGAGACCACAACAGAAAGGCGACAATAAATCCACAAAATTGATAGTTGACCTCGATCACCGACCCCTGGCTGAAGACAAGAAGATAATAGTCTCCCCGTTTGAACGCACCGCACGAAGTGAGCTTGCAAGGCATGACACTCTTCCGAAGCGATAGGGTACACCAAACAAGAGGTGGAGTAGTTTATATATAAACAGCCATTTAAAAGTGAAGCATCTATACGATACTCAACTAACTGAGGTGACAGTATCATGTTGGTGTTGTTTCCACATAAATGGCAGGAAATACTTGATTGAAAGGACTTACCGACCTCCCTCAGTTACTAAGACGCAGAAAAACAAACTGACTGAGGCAGTACTGCATCTGCCACTCATTGGGTTTGATCAAATACGCTTAGCTAGAGATTGCAACACCTCATCTATAAATCTTAGCGATCATGGAACAACTCTCACTGGTTGGTTACAAAGGCGGCTTGGTGCAGCCATTAGAAGCTATGGACTTACTGAGCATCTATGCAGTGCCACTAGATGGACTCTTGGGCGGCATTACCGAAACCTGGATTATTTGTTAACAAATGGTCGGCTCCTGATCGAGGATGTTTACGTCCATGCAGCAACAGGAAGTAGTGACCATGGCACAGTCTAGTTTCACACGGTCATAAACGAAACACTTTGGCAGGACGGAAATAAACCATATCTTTTCTATACCAATGCAAATTACACGCGTATGAGAGAGATCCTCACACATGCATCATAGCCGCGGGAATGGTGGAGGCTATACTAAAAAAGAGCTCATTCATAACTTCTTGAGCCTCAGAGTTAAAAACAAAAAGAATAAATAAAACCAAAAAATTATATCACTGATCCTCTTTATTATATTTTGTAAATCAACTTTATTACTAACAACTTGGTTCTTCTGAATTTCTTCGATTCTTTCGACTAACTCCTCATTAGTTATCTCTTTACTGAATTGTCTTCATTAACGTACATAAGCGCAGGTGTAAAGTGTTCTGTTATTAAAAATGTTTGGGTAAACATACCTTTGTTTTATCCGTAAACGTATTTGCAAAGCCATTGTTCGGCTTTGAACATGAATATTTTCTGTTCTGCCCCTCGTCCTGTTTTCTTTATTCCTTTTTTCAGAACCTTATTCCAATCCACATATATTAGTCTGGATATTTGCAGTAGACTTGGTTACCCTACCCAAGAACATGTGAAATCATTAGCTGATGAATATCAACCAGACCTTTGTACATTTACCGCATCAATTCTTGTTATATGAAAACCCATCTGTACCATGAATCGTTTCTCGATCCATAAGATGATTGTCGTAACGCAACCTTCATAACTTGCGCCAATTATTCGCATTGTACATTCCATCTTTAAGAAAACAATGAATCTTGTGAAATATTTCAGTAACTGTATAACGTTTTAAAAAAAAATGTTGCTAATCTTAACATTTTGATCTTGCCTGTAAATTGGCATGTCTATTGTAACATGTTTGTTATTTGAGAATAAATTATTATTATTATCATTATTATTAACAGTAGATGATCATTGGCAAATAATGAGAGATATCATCCGGAATACTGTCCTTAGCAATTTACCTTAATTACACCACACCTGGGAATAGAAGAACATGCGTTATGCGCGGTACTGAACCATTTCTACAGGCGGAAAGGAGAGTCTGGTACAAGGGGAAGGTCTGCTTGAAGGATTCCGATCGTAATTCTTACTTGAAATTGGGAAACAAATGCAACACCAGAATCTGAAGTGACAGGAGACGCATTCAGATGAAACTAGCTGTCCAAATATAGGCAAACCCTATTCATCTGTTTAGGTTCATGACTAAAAGAAAACCTAAAAATCGGGGTGCGTTCCCTCACAGTTGCGAATGGGAAAGACCTCAGTAACCTAGGGATGGCTGAGATCTTCGACACAAACTTCACCGATCAGTTAAACGGGGCATCCAAATGTTCAGAGTACTACTCAAACCTAGTGCAAGCTGATGGCTTAGGGATTATCCGATTTACTCCAGACTTACTACTAAGAAAAGTTAGATTCTTGCACCCAGGAAAGTCATCAGAATGTGAAAATCTCCCCCCTATATTCTTGAAGTAGTGTGCAGAACTCACTTCACCGGTATGTGATCTGTTGGGGCATTCAATGGAATAACACAAACTCATGGCTAAATCGAAACAAGATACTCTCTAATCAATCTTTAAAGGAGATAGGAATGGCCTAGCCTGTTACAGACCAGTTGCATTAATACAAATACAGTCGAAGGTAATGGAAGGGCTGATGAATGAGCAAATGAGGGAGTACCTGGATAAGAACAGAATACTCCATGAAGCTGAACATGGGTTTTGGAAAAGTAGGTGGTGAGCATCTAATCGTCTCATAGCATGGGACAGCTGGACGACCTACTGGGACCGAAATATACCGGCGCGTATCAGATTCCTTGACTTTGCAAAAGCCTTCGAAACAGTATCTCAAGCACTCCTAATTCGGAAGTTTGAGAAAATGAGCCTCACCGACTCACTCCTATATTAGGTAAGAAACTAATTTGAGAATAAAAAAATTCACAACATGGTAAATAGAATGCACGCTAGTTGGCGAGTCTCAACATCGGGAGTTTTAAAGGGAACAGTCTTAAGTACACTCCTCTTCGTGATATTCTTTGATGATCTGTAAAACAGAGTACGGTTAGCGGCATTGATCTACGCAGACGATGCAAAGTTCTGGAGGTCCATTAGAAGGGACGAGGATTCCAAAGGACCTTACATCTATTTTGGAACGAGCAGTGAAATGCGACAACAAACTTAAACAATCGAAATCTGACCTTATAAACATTATACTCAACGTTATAGAAACGACTGACACGCTCAATGGCAGTCCGCACTTTATCGTCTCCTAAGAGCGGATTCTCAGTCACTTTACCTCGGAGAGCCAAGACACCAGTTTGAACTACATAAGGGACACAGCTAGAGCTAATGAGACTCTTCACTTCATGCGAAGACAACCTAACGCTATCACCCGTAAATTATTCTTTACGTAGTTTAGGAAATATGCGCGCCCACACCTTGATGTTCACAACGTCGTCGCACCCCCTCTAATTAAAAGATATGTAAATCTCTTGAATCGAGTTCAGAGACAAGCATTGAAGAACATAACTTGCAAAGATAAACCCCAGCACTTGGAATGGCTTCTCTGAGTTACGACAGAATCAGTGGTGATCCGATGATTGCACGCCAAACCATCCCAGCGTGAGCATCTTACCAAGGCATTACCACTAGACAACGAAGGGTAATCCTGGAAAAACTGCTCATGAAAGATCAAACACCCAGCTTCCTGCACACTTTTCCATATTAGGAGTCGTTGCAACTAGGAATGCTGTCTCAGCCGAGGAGACCACAGCCCCCTCAGTGGACAATTTTAAAAAGTTAGTCGATAAAGACGTACTCAAATACTGATTATCATCTATCTCGTGGACAAGCTATGCTTGATGAATGTCTTGAGACCTGCTAGTTCTCATTATTTCTGTCTCCCCAGATCAATAACTTAATCTATCTTGGTCACTATCTCTGTTTCCTCTCCCGTGCTTACATTTAAGTCCTCTCCCATAATATTTACTACCAATCAATAAACTAAATAATCTATTTATTTACTTAGTTCTGAAATCTTCATATTATTAGCATCAGACTATTCTCCTTATTATTCTCCACACTGCAACTAAATGACCTCCGATGTGGTGACGTGATAACTGCTGATACGCAGAAACCTTGATGCTTTGAACCAAAGGTACCCAATCAAATCAAGGGACATACAAACTCACAAACCACTGCCAACTGACTAGAACTAGACAGTTGAGTGTCTAGACCTTCATTCATTGGAAACTACCAAACACCTGGAACACTATCGGAATAACAAGAATCGAGCGCAAAGAAATCAACTGGTTTATGCTAGCAATTGAAAAACATATTGGATATTGGATGTGTGGTGTGGGATTTTCATTTTGCACGTTACGACGTATTTCGCAGTTATTTGTGGTCTGATGGTCAGTCTGCAATCGTCTGCTTTGCGAACTAACTTTTATTCGATTCCTGTTTCAATTTGCACATTTTGATCATTTTTGGATTCGAATTTCCAGCATATCACTTCACATTGAAGCAATTCTGTTTATTTGTTGATATATCCCACGCAATGGTTTATTTCCAGCCACTTAGACTTTTGCCCATTATTTATATCGATAAACTTGACTTGTTAGTTAAGCCTTGATCACGTGTTTCTGCAGTGGTTCTGTACCGCCTGTATCTGCAAAGATACTAAAATATTCGGAATAGGGCGTTAGATAAGGTCGCTTCAAGATGTTCTCTGTTTTGTAAGATGACCTAGCGTCATTTCAGCCAGCATCCTCAGTTGCTAGCTTCGACTAGTCATATAGTTTTCGCACTTTCTGGGAAAGCGCGGACAGTACTTACGAGCGTAAAGTTACAGGTCTTATTATTATAGTTCTTTAAATTTACATGGTTATAAGTCTATTCGTAAATTCATTCGAAGCCATTTTAGAATCATTCACTTAGGTGTAAGCTATAAGAAAATAGGCTTACTTCCTCGAAATTTCCAAAGTGTACGAGATCACCCCTGAAATCGATCAAAATTGTTCCCAAAGTTGATAGATTCGAGGACAGCAATTGACACTTACTTGACATTAGTAAACTATCATCATAATGCTTTATCACCTACTCAGGCTGCATTCACATTTTTGTCCCTTTGGCCGCAGCATTCAGTGTTAAACCCACTACAGACGTGAAGTTGACAATAATTGAAGGAATATTTGTAAATAAGTAAAATGTTTTGTAATGCATCTGTCTTTAGGGAAATTGGCAGACAGTGGGCTTGATTGGCAGTGAACAAATGCGAATGACAAAATCTGCTGTAGAAGTTAGAGAGTCGTTTGTGTTTTAACTTGTCTATGTTTTAAACGAAAAACGTAAATGCTAATTTTCGGAGGACGATGACCTGGTAAAAATTCAAATTTAAGGATAGCGATCTCTAGTCCTGATAATATGTTGCAATTACGCTTGTGAACTAGCTTTTGAGTCGTGGTCACTATAGGAGTTGCATCAACAACTTTGTAATCTTGTGATTGGCTGTGCGATCAATCGACTTGTCTTCGTAGACATTTCTGGTGCTTTTAAGCGTAACAGTGATAGCGTTGTGGTTTGTTTGCTATCAGAATTTCTTGGGGTTTGAAGTCAATCCCTCGAACTAATTCCTGTTTGTTCTGTAATGAGGAATGTTCAACCAGGTGTTTATTCTAAACATCTTATATTAATTGCGATTCTTTATTTAAAAGTGCTGTACAACTTTCCTACTATATGGCCGTAGATGATTCGTTAGAGTAGTCAAACAAATGTTGTTTATGTTTGCATTGAATAACCAAACGCACCACCCATTTTAAATTAGTCAAAACTCGTAATTCTGCCAACTCACTAACGGAGCAACCAGTTATTAATAATGCTATCAATAGAATAAACTAGTCGCTACCGAATTCATGAAATCACAAATCACTTAGTGGGGTTTCCCTACGCTGTGTTGCAACAATTTATTTATTTCTTCATAACCAAAGTCTCGGATATTTCACTTCGTAATCTAATGGTTCTATGATGCTATAATGTTTCGCTTACATTTAGGCTAAGTATTTGGTTAAGTTGATTGTATCCGGTGCTCAAGTTTTTGGCCGAGCATTCGTCCAGGCTGTCAAAGAAGAGTATGTCGCCAGTCAAAGGGTCGCTGACGCCCGTCGAAGTACTGGGTCCAGTGGTCCTGGGCAAAATACTTACGTCCAGAATGCCGGAATCTCATTAGAAGAAGCAAAACAAATATTGAACGTCAAAGATATTCACGATACAAATACTCTAAATAAACACTATGAACACCTCTTTTCCTCCAACAGTAAAGATAAAGGTGGATCATTCTACCTACAGTCAAAGGTATTCAGCTTTACATTTTACAACTAACTTCTAATACAAACTTTTATTTCGATAGTCCATTGAAGATTGCTGGACAAAAGTTTCCTATAACATAGTAAATCTTAGATATTAGCTATTTCCTTGGGAATGTCTTAGCACTCAGGCGTATATATATATATATATATATATATATATATATATATCATTGTCGTTTTAAGTAACCGTACATTTCAAATATTCAGCTGATAAACATTGACGATATCTATATACACTTTTGGTATTCACCAGTACACTACTTTAAACGATTTGGTGGATAAAAGCATCATATCAATACATTTCATGTAGTTTTGTCTTTAGGTTTTAGAAACCATATTCTTATCAATTTAATCTCTGGATAGTTTAATATTTTTTATGTGCTATTACCATTATTCAGGTATTTCGAGCGAAGGAACGCATTGATGAGGAATTACAATTTGAACAGTCGGAACGGCGACAAAATCCAAAATCTAAGAGTAGTAACCAATCAGGGACTTGAACAAATGTAGGAAATCGCTTTGTGTTTTATTAGTTCTGTGTATTTAAAAATTCAAAGATCAGTCAATATTGTGTTCATTTAATTATTAATATGGTCATATAAAGTGTTGTGTAATACTGGTCGAAGAGAAATTAAAAAAGATGCGGTTAATTTTGGTTGGTATTATATGGAGGACTATGGAGTGAAAAACGTTTATCACTATGGAAGTTCAGCTGAATACTAAAGCTGCTCTTGGTCACAAAAGAATATAGTTAGCTTCTGGTTATCAATTTAGGTTTTCTATGTAATATATTTAATTTTACAACCGTTTCTCACCGTAAGTAACATTGTTATGGTGTTTTTTTTCAAATACACAAATCCAAACAATATAAACATTTAAATTGCCATGCAAACTGTATTTTTGCTTAGTAGATACCCTGAGAACTAAATAACGTACGAAGATTTTTGTGGTTAACTATTGGCTACACATGTTAGAGAAAGGCTGAAACATAAGTAGATAATTTTCAAAGTACTCTTTCGAATTCGGATTTGTATAGGTGATATTCAAAAATGCGTTTCTTAGTGTTCGTGTAAGATCAGGCTGAATAACTGTATAAATCTTAACGCACATAGAAGACGTATTCACTGTTCATGCAGATATTCTGTTACATAAGTAGTTTTGCTAGATAACCGTTAGTTTTAAGAGGAATTTAAGTCATAAATTCTGTGCCTGTCTTTGAGTTACTAAATTCTTATTATATTATCATCCGTCAATTCTAAATAAGGGAAATCCTACAGTATTTGCAGAATGCGATAAATTCGTTGTGTTTCCTTGTTTTCTCCTGTTACACATATAGCCTAGTAATTTTCAGTTATTAATGTATTCGTAAATTAAGAGCCAAATTGTCTGTAAGAGAACAGTAACTCTAAAAATAAAATAATCATGAATTCGGGATGAAGATTTTAAGTGGGTGTTTGTAAATAATTGGAATGATATATAAGATCATAAACTTTCTCGTTGTTGACATTAACGGCTGTCATTGACCATTCTCTGTTGGCAAATTTTCATCTTGTTAAGTTTTAGTTACGTGTCATGATATATTTGAATTGTAATTAGCAACAGATACAAAAAATGTACGTTTTGTCCTAGTTTGAACTAATCAGATTGGAAAATTATGAATCTTACTCATAAATGTATACTCATTAATCCAGTTAACATCTATCTAAACTGGGTGAATAACTCGTTCGCTTTGTAACGATAGGTGAACATCTATGTTAATATATGGGCACGCTCAACTGATGTGTCTCACACAAAACAAAGCATAAGTCTTTGTTTTTACTGCTAACCACAGACCAACGGTTAAAATTGTAAGTGATATAGCTACAGAAATCGATTTTAGTCAGTAAATTTAATCCTTTCGAATAGGCTTTCGATTTTATGTTTCAACACTGCAGTCGACAGGAATAACAACAGTCAATTGACCGTGATTTCTTGCAAATATTGTTGATATCATTTACAACAATGTTATCGGTATAAATATCTGAGGAATGCAAGTAGTTGAGTAGTTCACATTTTCTGCTTCGAAATTCGCCTTAACACTATGACCCACCTGTAGTAAATAAATTAAACTGATTATCCTCAGATAAGTCGTTTGCGTATTGTTTGATTTGGCCTCTTTATTTATACAAAAACTGGATGAATATCATCCTCACATACTAACAACTTCATTCCGGAGTACTATTAAATGTTAAGAGTAGACAGAATATGATAATATCAGTTTCATTGTTTGGTTTTTAACCAGTAGGGTGTTTTCCCATTTTATTCCATACCCACTGAACCCAACATTGTATAAACGTTGACTGTTTTCAACGAAGGATTTCCACTTCAGTTGCATATATATTACGTTAAATCTTGTGAGCAGTATTATATTGTAAAAACGTCCTCCATTTAAGTTCTTGTCTACCAATCAAAGTATCCACAAGGTTCGTAAACTTAACTAGTTGCTTACTATGACTGGAAAGTTCTTATATTGAATCAGCTACAGAAAACATTTCACTATTTATCCAAATGAATTTTTAGTACATGATTTTTATGGCCATAAGTTTATCGTGACTAACTGTAAAACGCTGGTGATATTTTCATTAATATTGTGTATGGTCAGTTATTTTTTTCATCTGTAGGGAACGTACAGATAAGTTAACAATCTCAAGTAGGTAGTTTACATTCGGTAATAACATGGAAAATCCCTCTGTATGTTTTCTGTGATACTCCATCAATCCAGTATTTCTAAGGACGTTAAATATGTCGTCTTTATTTACTGTGACTGCGCTAATTCCGATTCCTTTCTTTGGAGCTGATTCCAGATATTCTCAATTCCTCTTTAAGATGAATGTGGATGACGTTATTGAAGACTCTGGTGAACATGAATAAACTTACATCATGAATATGTCTGCACTTCGATAGAGCCAAACTTGTTGCAACACGTAAATTGCCCAACCATGTTTCACCTGCTCAAAAACGAATTTCATGAGTAAGATAGTGTCATATTTTTATACAATCATGTTTGAATTGTAAATCCCTAACCGCTTTACTTGAATAATAATAATAATATAATACCACCAGATTTATATGCTGGTTTCTTCCAACTTGAGTGTTTATCCATTCGTGACCGCTGGAGCATGCATTAGATAGATTCGAGAATTGCTAGCTCATAAGTTACGTTCAGTACAACTACTATAACTTGTCAATTTACTTGATTTCTGGACTGGTTTAATGGTGGAAAACTGCCTCATCAGCGCTATGGTGATTATCGTGTGGCAAATGTTTAAGTGGAGATCGGGCGTTGTTAGGACCACGAACCTTGTCTTGTTCTGTTACCATTGTGGAGCCCCAGAATATTGACTCACGTTTCATCATTGTCAGCCAAAAATATATCACTGACGTCTTGTTAACATATTGTTTCATTATGTGCAGTGGATGTTCTTGTTTCAAGGGTAGCCATTTTTCATCTATACTATACGTCCCTCCATTTTTGTGAGAGAACGTTTTTGGAATATTTATTAGAAATGAATTAGTAGCCATTCTGCTAAGGTGATCATAATAATAGAGTTTTATTACCAATAACGTAGTCGTTTCACAAACGACGATCGCTCACGGAAATCTTCAGATTCGATTTCCTCCATGATGTTTGCTTCCTTCTGATTGGTCGTGACTGCTCTTACTCCACCAATTTTCTATGTGCTTGAAAGTCACAGCTTATTACAGTGGATACAGAAATGTACCGACTCGTTTTTACTGCTTTTGCTACCACAAATATCATATTCTCTACAATTTATCTTCTTCCGACAAGTGTTGGTGTGTTATTTGTAAATTACCGTTGTGGAGTTCGAAGAAAACTGATGGTATTATAACAGCTAAATCATTTTTCCGCAGATATATAAGTTTCCTAGGCTCATTCCGATCCTGAATAACATGATACCAAACCTTCATAACGTGATCGAAAATGAGCATCAACGCCTTGCATAGGTTACAGTTCCATATGAAAGAACTGATGGTTTTATATGAGGAAATAATATTATTAAAGAGAACAGTAGTGGGCTAAAATTTCTTGCAGTCAGTCGTGAAAACTCTCGTTGATGTGTTAATTTTACTTAAACACTCCGTCTGTGCGATAAATATTTTGATCTTCGGAGTTTTTTCAGGCCATAGATTCCAGTAAGTTTAGGCTTGGTCATACACTTTTACGGTCACCGAATCTGAGTAATAAAACTAGGTTATTATTTTCTAGCGGTCGTAGGAAAGCGATAAAATTAGCATCCATAACTCCAGTAACGAAAATCACTAATTTAGAACTTTTCATGTTCTGTTTCTGAGACTACAACACGCCCTATCAAAATTGTCTCATACCGCGTTGGTAAATTTCGCCAATTTCAGTCTCTATGTAGTAGCATTGCTGGCTTCAGTAGTATCATTAATATATTTATATACAAACCATAATTAACACAAATAGCACATAACCTGTCTGCCCTTTTAAACTATCAGGGAGACCCAGCGAATCGTTTTTTCTCGCGATCTGGGCCATAGCAGTGAGAGCGTTCTGCTGTATGCGCATTTTTATGACTGGGATTATATTTTTCCTAGAAGCTGAATAAGAAAAACAAATCAGGTCGAATTAGAGTCTTAGGGAAATCAAGCATCGACCAATCCTTTTCAGTGACTATATATTTTTCTATGATTCCTGTGGAACCACATGCTAAATGGATGTCTTTTTAGATGTTATTTTTTGCTGAAACGCACCTGCAAACTATGAGGTTTGAGAAAACTGTCATGATAGATCAGGATCACAATCATTTAATTCGAGTTGGTCTGAGTAGAGTTTATTATGTGGTACTAGTACCTCTTGGGTTGCTCTTCGGACAGTTCAAGTCAGTTATTCTTCTTTTACGAAAAAGAGATATGATGCAGTCTCTACAAATGAGTTCTTAAGCAGTTTTTGAGTCCTATTCTCTGAGATTCTGGAAATAACCCTCACGAGTGATGGAGTTTATTTGGTTACTGTATGCTGATGTGTAAAAAAATCATATTATTGGTCCGAGTGATGCCTAGGTTACTGTTTACATTATGTATCTGAACTACCTAAACACTTTATTGTGACGCATTGATTAACATTTACATGGGCTTGAATAAACCTTGGTTACCACTGAAAAATATTTAGTTTGTGCTTGGTTAAAGCTGTTACAAGCAGTTGGCTGTAGATCGTTTGAGTACTTGTTTTTTTTAGCTTACAATGAGACTTATCACGCTTAGCAGTCACAACAATGTCTGAAAAAATATTTTGTGTGTAATTATTAATTAGGAAGCCGTCAAGTTCTTAATCAATGTTAAGTGATTAACATCGGTGTTATTTACGACTTTACGTACCTCGTAACTCACCAACATATCTCTCTTCAATCTGTACGATCAGTAAGTGAAATCCGTTTTAATGGGCATGATTCTGAAGAAATTATGCCACACCACTTCAAGGGTGTTTTGTGCAGTCTTTAACGGAAAATCTATTCCGAATTTCATAGCGATACGAAACACCTCTAGACGAAGCAAGCAACCAAAATGCAGACAATCCTAATTATTTCTTGAGTTTCATGATTAAAAGTAAAACCTACGAATTAGGCTGTTTGTACTGTCAAAGGTTCAAATGGAAAAGCTTCTACCAACTTTGAAAGGACTGAAATCTTTAACGTCAACTTCATCGACCGATTGGACCAGGTACTCAAACTCAAGCACTACCCAACTCTAGTGTCAACCAGTGACCTATAGAATCTTCGACTTACTCTCAGATTAGTACTGAGAAAACTCCAGTCTCTGCGCCCAGGATATGATAACAGTCCTATAACCATGAATCAATGTGCGAAAGTCCTCAGTTCACCGGTGTATTACCTTTTAAGCCATTCACTGGGGTCATACCAACGGCGGGAGAATGGAAACAAGCTACTCTCTCCAATCTTCGAGGGAGTAGATAAATGACATTCAACCTATGGACAAGATATAACCAAAACCTAACTGGCTTATGCAACTGGTTGTTTTAATTCATGTCATTATTTATCTAACTCCATCGGGTTACCATATCACAAATGTTGAAGTATGCCGAAAACTCACGAAATCATTGTTTAGTAACGTATTTTTGAGGCTAGTGCTGGATAGGTGTTTGAATAAACTTAATTCGCAAATATAACGAAATGTATGTCACAGATTTCGCTGCTAGTTACAATCCACTTTGCGAAGAATGTGTTAACTAATGACCTCCATTATCTAGGAAATCTTAAAATGCACATTTGCCGATACATACTGATTATTGATTGCGTTGTATCGGAAAAGGAAAAATTCTAACTTTTAAAATTGTGATGCAATCTCATCTTTAGCGGGTTCGTTGATCTCGTTAATCGTATATCGAGTAATTCAGTCTATTCAATCTAGCCTTCGCGTTGATCATTTGAGAATTTATGAGTAAATAGTATTGAAATCGATGAAACCGAGAAGTAACTCATATATTGTTATCTATCAAAGTATTTTTTTGAAAAATCAGCAATATTATACATACTAAGTGTATTCATATCACAACAGCATACATTGCGATTTGTAAATTTTTGATGTTTTTAAGCGAACAAAGCCATATACATTAAACTCTTAGAGGTAGTTTCATGAATCTAACACTGGATAATGTTACTACTACTATTTGATGATTGGTAGTGACACAGCTCGATTTGAACAGAACCGGTTTGCATAACGTATTAATTTGTAACATCATGACAAAATTCGTCGTGCGTCGTGCTAATCATTATGGTATTTGATGGTATGTTATGAGTGACATCTATGAAGTTTTCTCAAAATAGACACAAGTTTTGATTTTAGTTCATGCTCATTAGTCACAAAAAGCGATCCTAAAAAGGCCCCGAAATGCTTACTGCATAGTGCGAATTGGGGTCGTTGAACAGAGCAAGCCTGTTTAGTCTAGAATCCTAATTCCTTTTATGGGTGTTCACTTTTATTGATAATTATCAAATAGGCCATCTCTCTACAATCTGACAGACAAGCACATGCGAAAATTATGCGAATTTCGACACAGTTTTGATGAAATATCGCTAGCAGTGTGATCAAGATGTGCGTATCTTCCTATTTAGGAATCGTCAGTTGGATGTACCTATACTATGGAGTTGGTGTTCACTCAAAAACTTGAATTCATTGCCTTTTTTTTCCATTCCTATCGCATTATTTGGTTAGCTTTAGTTCCAGATAGCCGTTCATGAAATCAGTATGAGATTTGATTTTGTCTATTCTATATTGCTTTTATCTTAATGGCATTACTGGGGCAACCCGCGCAGGATGCCCACACGCTAACCAAAATTGAACAAATTTCAATCAGAAATACCATCACTGAGATGGTCCAAACCACTTAAATTTGAACTGTATAGATTTCATTATGCTTAATGTTTTCCTATATGACATATATTGTGCGATGTTTGCTGTATGAGACATGTTCATAATGCTTATTGTTTTGACGCTCCAGACTGTCAGACATATAGTTTTCATCAGTTTATAATGGCTGTGATATGCTCGTGCACTGTGATTTTAATTTGCAACCCTAATTTTAATATCGTAGAAGAAACTTCCTTTACTTTTTTTCACTGTAAAAACATCAGTTTAGTAAATTAAACTTTTCGAAGTGAACGCAGTATACTCAATCAAAATGCATTAGGCTTATTGATTATGTATCGATAACGTGATTAAGAATATTTAACTGGGTATCTTTAATTAACTCAAATAATCATAAAAATTTATTGAGATCCTACAAACAGCGTTCATACTGAAAACATCGCTCTAACAGAAGTTCAACCGAAATGATATTGATTTTTCTCGTGATAAAAATAACCGGTGAGAAAGAATAGTTGGATTGGAGAAAAATTAACGAGTGAATTAAAATTTGGAAACGATCGATCATGTGGTTGGATGAATTTAAACAATGATTCAGTGCACCAAGAACTTTTGTGTACAAAACTGACCATCAAATTATTACCTCGTGATCATAATTAATAGCGTGGTATAGAGTTAGTAATGATAGGAATAAATATACTTTAGTGTGTATGTACGTTTCTAACTCTAGACTAGTTTGGTTCCCATTATTCATTTAAAAACAGTTAGCACTATGAACGAGTTTTAAAATCATTTGAAAAATTAACTTAGCATTGGTAATGCGAACGGTCCCACTCAGATTACTTTTTGTATTAGAGTTACACTGCGGATGGTAAATGCAACTGTGATCAAGGTATTGTGCATGAATGAATTATTTACCTGGCGAAGTTTTCCATCTACATTAGTTTGTCTACGCATGATTTATGTATATACACATTTAACTCCTAGTGGAGTAGGAGTGTGCATTGTCACCTTATCATAATACCAGATCATAGCCAGTAACATTTAGATTTTTAATGGTTATTGGACCAATAATTACTTTTCTAGCAAATAATTTCGGGCAAAATTCAAGTAATCATTAAATATAACTTTCATTTACTAATGTTATTATTGATTACAACCCATAGGTCGGGGGTTTATGAGCTTTTTTAAAGTAATTGCGAAATACAGAAACTGAATAGTAATCGAGTAACGTAGTCACAAATCGATTTGGATAGGAATGAAGTCAGAAGATATAAATTATGAACAATGGAAGTCATATATTCTTAAAACAGATTCAAATGGAACTGAGAAGTACATACATAATCAAATAATCCTCGCAAAACATGCATACTTGCATGGTGAATGTGAGTTAGTGTTTAAAGGGAAAATTTACTGTAACTCCATATACTGCACGTTTAATAATAATATACTTTATGGTTTATTAAACTATTAAATATTAGCTATGACATAGTGGTAACTCATATTGATGGCAAAAATTCTTAATTTATGCATGCGAAATGACAAGTAAATTACTAAAAAATTAAGTTACATGAACATTAAATACTATGGTCTATCTTCATGTATCCTTTTCTTGGTTTTTAGGTAATTTGTGTAAACGGAAATTAAGAAAGAGTCTAAATGCAGAAAAAAATAATGCCATAAATGATTATTAACATGGTGATATATGAATATTTTGGAAGTATATTACTTAAAGTATAAAATGGAATTAAAAATATCATTAGTACATTAAACTTAACCTTCAGGAAGTTATACTAATTGCTGTCTAGTTTAAAGGTAATACAGGGACGAACCGAAACTAAAATCTAGCGCATAACTAACTTTCAAAACGTACATCGTGTTTTAAATCAGTAGTTGCTATCATATTTAGAAGTTTCAACCCAATTTTCAATGTGATCACAGCTAAGATATTGAATAAAATTGTAAAAATGTAGTTTATCAAGTTATGGAATGTTATTAATGTTACACCTACATTGCCAGTGTCAACTGAAATTTCACTTGGGGAACTGACCACGAAATAAAAATGCAGTAAATGTTGAGAAATAAAAACAACAGAATAGTTTGGCTAAGAGATGTTTTTATTGGTTCGATTCTTGAGGTCACACTAATAACGTGCCTAACTTTCACAATGATATTCTAATCATCATTTCTTAGTTATAAAGTATAATAGTTTTTGTAACTTAAAAGCCTTCTCATTCCCTTATAATACAACTGTGGTCAAATTTAGAGTTACTTTCGCTCAAAGTACAATGTTTTCTTGATAAGATTATTTCCAATGTGTCATCATTTTCAGATAAATTATTAACGATCAGTAAAAATAAAATGTTTTTTAAAAAATGACAGGAAATAGTCTACCTGGACGGTTGCGGTCTATTTCGACGATTAGCAGATGTAGGTCTACTTTTAGTTTGCTGATCCAACTGTTTAGCTTCATAACTAATCGAATATAATGTAGCATATCTGTCTTCATCAGATAAATGTGGTTGTTTCTGACAGTTAGTTTTCCAATTTTTAAGCGAATTATCGTCATAAACTTTCACTGAACATTTGGGCATATGCATTAACCAGTCATCTGTTGTACTAACACTTAACCATTGTGCTATAGTTTCATATTCAATTTTATGAAATAAACTTTTTGGTAAGGTTGGCTGCGATGTAATCCATCGATAGGCTGTTATCGAAGGTGTTAGTCCTGGATGCTTCATTTTTTCATATGAATTTGTTAAGTTTGGAGAATATCTGTCATTTGTTTTGATACAGTTATCTGTAGATGCGATGGAATTGCATTTTAACTGATCGTATTCTGAGGAATAATCAACGGACATTATAATCGCTAATCAAATAAAAGGAGTAGCTGTACAAGTAATCTGTTCTATTATATTCAAAATATAAGGAAAGTAAAACAATTAGGCACGTTTGCATTGTTACCTAAGCTGTGCTGTATATACCGTTTGGGAAAGACTCCCACTATTTGGTCTTTTATCGTATGAGGTCACAACTATTATGTTCCAAAACGGACAGTTTAGTTGATACAGGAATGCACCTATATAGGTATTTCTATGTTTCAATCTTTTTCGCTAACTGGGATATTAAACCCTACAGTAAGAGGCTTGTGGCTGCGTTGGATTCTAAGAAGTGCTCACTACTTTAGTGGCCCGTGAGCTGACTCCTTGATTTATGACGTTCGAGTCTGCTATGAAACAAATCTCTCCTATAGTTCCCGTATATGATACTTAGGCTGTGACGGTGCTAATAAGAAACCAAATATGGATTCAGCTAGATGAGTTCATCTCAAGTAATCTCACATGCAGACAGACATGATAGCGAGAAGCGTACCATAGGAGCGAAGCCGAGTGAGCCAACTCCATGTAATGAGGCATGACTGAGCATTTATATTCAGATAAGAGTAAACCAGACATGCGATAGGCAAAGAAAGCGGCACATACTCGAATAAAAAGAAGCAAGATAGTTAATAATAGACAAGTTTGAAAGACATATGAATAATAACTCGGGTCATACTTGTAACGCGAAGTTAAAATGCTGAATTAGGGTAACTTAAGGCAGCTGCAATTATTGCAGTCTCTCATCTGTGACAAATGGTTGTAACTAGCAACGGATAAATTCAGTCATTTCACTATTAAAATATAAAGTCCATCTCTTCAATGAGTGATCAAATAACAGAAGCACACCGGATAAAAAAACGTATAATTTCATTTCTGCCCTCAACAAGTCTCGTCTACTGTGTTGCTGTGGCTAGCTGCCAGATAAACATGATGCGAGTATATCTGTTTATCTACACTCATCAAATATGACCTAATAAAGTTGAAGAAAATTACGAATTCAACTAATTGGTTATGAATGATTCTGCAGGATTACTAGCATGTGGTGGAATAACCGAATTAACAACATAGAGGTTAAAAGCAACGCATTACGCACGGACTACAATTTGACTAATGAGGTAATTAAACTTCTCATGTTACAGAGGTTACAATGTGTTATGCATTGTATCATTGTTTACCGCGATGTGTCACAGTAGATCAGTCTAACTAATATTGTGTCTAAAATGTTAGCCTCGATAATGTTTCGATGCCTAACCAAAGCTCATGAAGAGATAAATAGGCTGGTTCCCGTCCTGGACGTGGATGTATGGACCAAATATTCACTCTTCATCAGGTCCTGGTACACAGACACACATTTCGGCATCCGACAATAACTGTATTCCTGGACCTTAAGGCGGCATTTGACTCTATTGGTCGTGAGGTTCTACGGCAGTGTCTGTCATTGAAAAGTTTACCAAAGAAATACTAGTCGGGTCAGAGCCTATAGCGAAATTTCGTCTGGATTGATTACCACGAGTGGTGTTCGTCAGGGATGTCCACTTTGCTCATTCCTGTTCAACTTTGTTACCAACATGCTTTTATATACGACACTTCCACCGTCCGACTTCTCAAGAATTGATCTCCTACCACGAGACTCGCTTGTTGACTTGGAATATGCCGATGGCATAATCCTGTTTGGTGAAGATGCTGACAAAATGCTGTCTTCTGACCAACCTAAGCAACAGCGCAGTTATGTTGGGGAGGCGATTCTTCCCTTCTGAATGCAAAATGTTGCCTCAGGATTGGCTTGCGTCAGCACCTGAACTAGTGATAAGGAGTGAAGTAGTTGAGCGTGTCGACCGCCTCACTTATCTCGGTAGTCTCATCAGTGCTGACGACGGACGAAATCTCAGCACGGATATAGAAGGCTCGAATGGCTTTTGCCAACTTGCGTAGGCGATCTTCGACCATAGGTGTCTCTGAAGCATTGCTCGTATATCTTGTGATAACCGAATGAGCAATGCTGGTGTTAGGATGCGGGTACTAGGTTAAGATGGGAGATCAATAGATGAAGTAGTGAAAGATCACCAGTCCAGGTAGTTGGGACATGTTACGAATGTCCAAACACTGACTGCCTCGTCGAGCTATGTGTCGCAGTTTAGGAGTAGGTTGAAAGAAACCTAGGGGCAACCAAACCAAAACATTACACAAATACATGAAGTCACTGACAACTGGACTGAGCCATGTCGTAGGTGCAGACTACCTAGTTTGGGTCCGCGAGACAATAGCAACCGAAGGTAAGATACTTTGAATGACATGGCTCGAAATCGTTTGCAATGGCGCAGATGCATCCATTCTTTGTCTTCTCTCAAATTCGAATCTTCTGAATGACTCATCACCTCTTACTTTCTGTTTCTAAGTTTGTCTCACTGAGTTATACTCCTTGAATAATGTCTTCGAACCCTAATTTCTCCATTACTGCTATTACTTCTACCATCTCTACCACTATGGGATTTGAACTGGCAATTGCGTCTCTGAGCTGATGTGGTATGGCAATCT